TAATTCTGAGCCGTCCATTTTCCTATAGGGACCCCAAATTTGGTTTTAATTGGAGGGGCTAATTGATCGGATCTGCTATTACTGCCGAGTCGCCCAGCCGTCAGATTCGACCGTGGCGCCATCCCTCCGTTGGGGCGATACTATTTTTGGCTTGGGGTCGTCTGAACCCCGAGATCTGAGCCTCTGCTTTAGTCTATCCTCTTTGATTCTGCTGGTGGACAACCAATTGGTGCTTTTGTGTTGGATTTCGAGTAGCACGACGCCGGCTCATTATTTTAACCATTTTTTACCTAAAAAATCCGATAAAAACTATCAGCCTCGTGAGATTTTTTCAAAAAGTTCTGTTTTGTACTGAATTATGGACTCGAAAGTGTGAGAGGATTATTATTCATGGTTGTGGACACGCTGGAGTCTTGAAATGTAAGAATCTAACCTAAAGAATGTATTTTCCATGAAAACATTGTGGTTCGATGAATAATAAAATGATAGATAAAATATTATATTGGAAAAATTCGGCAGAATTGACATTTTTTCAGAACAAATGGAAATCTCCTTTTTTTCATTTTTATAGTAATCAAGAATGGGATTATTTGCAATCGGATAGATGACTTATGAAAGGATTTAGCTCTACGTACCAAACAATTTCGTAGAAAAACGTAGAGCATTCGCTAGAAAATTTTATTGGATTTCTGTTGAACTTTCCGCGAGTTTTTTTCAATGGAAATGTTTAATGGAAAATATTCGCAGAAAAAATCGATAGAATTGAATTTTTTCATACAACCAACTATTGGATATTTTCTATACAAATTCCTCTGCTCTAATTTTCCAAATTTTTGATTGACTTTCCAACTGAAAGGAGAAAAAAAATTGTGTGCAGATAAGCTGCGGAAATTTTCAATAGTAATGCTCAATGAGAAATATTCTAAAAAAAAATCAATAGAAAAATCAATTCAATTTTTTAAAAATAATTTTTTTATGTATAACTAACTCTATTGGATATTTTCTATAGAAATTCTATAAAGAAATTTTACAAGTTTGTTTGATTTTTCAAATGAAAGTTGAGAAATTGAGTCAAGACGACTTCAAAAATTCATGTCAACGAATTCGTATAGAAAAAATTCTATAGAAAATGGCATTCTACTATTCTACTGACTTTTTTATAAAACAATTTCTTATTGATTTATAATTATATATATTTATAATTATTAGACATTTTCCATTAAAGAGAAATAAAAATAGCTATCGAATTCGCTACATTTTTCTATGAAAAGTGAAGAAAAATTGAGTGAAAAAAAAATCAGAAATTCATATCGAGGAATTCCTATAACAAAATGTTGTATAGAAACATATGATCTCCATATGACCTCCATGATCCTTATTCTGACCCTCATGACCCTTATTCTAACCCTCACGAACCTTATTTTGACCCTTAATCCCTAAACCCTTGTGACTCAATTTTGGAGTCTTAATTTCGAGTACCAAATTTTTATCACCAGAAGTCGATAGAAATTTTTATAATATGGACAGATGAGAAATATGTATGAAATTTCAACTGTAATTGTTCAGAAACACTTGAACAAAAAAAAAAATTTCCCGTTTTGCTTCACCTCACTAATAGTCCCTGACTTGTAATTCCAGTTAAAAATCATGGGAAGCAAAAGAAAGCCAGTGGACACCCAGGTACCCGCCGAGGAGAGTGACCTCCTCTCGATAAAGCCCCTGGGTGCAGGTCAGGAAGTGGGTAGATCCTGCATTATGCTGGAGTTCAAAGGAAAGAAAATAATGCTGGACTGCGGTATCCACCCAGGTCTCTCTGGAATGGATGCCCTTCCTTTTGTCGATCTCGTCGAGGCGGACGAGATCGATCTCCTCCTCATCTCCCATTTTCACCTGGACCACTGTGGAGCCCTCCCCTGGTTCCTCCAGAAGACGAGTTTCAAAGGGAGATGCTTCATGACTCACGCTACCAAAGCCATCTACCGCTGGCTCCTCTCTGACTACATCAAGGTCTCCAACATCGCGACAGAACAGATGCTGTACACTGAGTCTGACCTTGAGGCCAGCATGGACAAGATAGAGACGATAAATTTTCACGAGGAGAAGGACGTTTTTGGAATTAAATTCTGGGCGTACAATGCTGGACACGTACTGGGGGCTGCCATGTTTATGATTGAAATTGCAGGTGAATTAGTGGGAGATTTATGACCTTAAGTTTAGAAATTTTTGGAGAAATAATGGGGGAGAGACTGAGGGTCAAATGTAGTTAGGAGTCAAATGGAAGAGATAGACTATGGGTTAAAGATATTCAAGGGTCAAATGGAAGAAACTGCGGGTCAAGTGGGAGAGATAAGCGATGAGGTGAACCTTCTCGAGGGTCAAATGGGAGATGTAGACTGGGTTAAAGATATTCAAGGGTCAAATGGAAGAGACTGTGGGTTAAACATTCTCAAGGGTCAAATGGAAGTGACTGTGGGTCAAACATTCTCAAGGGTCAAATGGGAGAGACTGAGGGCCAAACATGGTTAAGGGTCAAATAGAAGAGACAGGCTGGGGGTTAAATATTCTCAAGGGTAAAATGGCAGAGACTGTGAGTCAAACATTGGAAAGGGTTAAATGGGAGAGATGGACTGTGGGTTAAACTTTCTCAACGGTCAAATGGAAGAGATTGACTATAGGTAAAACTCAAGGGTCCAATTGAAGAGATAGGTCAAACTTTTTCAAGAGTCAAACAGAAGAGTCATGAGAGCCAAAGGTTCTTAAGGGTTACAAGCAAGAAACATTGTAGGTCAAACGTTCTCGAGGGTCAAATGGGAGAGATAGGCTGTGGGTCAAGTATTCTCGAGGGTTAAATGAGAAATAAACTGTGGGTCACATTCTCAAAGGTCAAATGGGAGATATACGTTGTGGGATAAACCTTCTCAAGGGTCAAGTAGAAGAGACAGATGAGGGTCAAACGTTCTCGAAAGTCAAATGCAAGGGACACGTTATGGATTAAACATTCTAAGGGTCAAACAGAAGAGACAGGCTGGGGGTTAAATATTCTCAAGGGTAAAATGGCAGAGACCGTGAGTCAAACATTGGAAAGGGTTAAATGGGAGAGATGGACTGTGGGTTAAACTTTCTCAACGGTCAAATGGAAGAGATTGACTATAGGTAAAACTCAAGGGTCCAATTGAAGAGATAGGTCAAACTTTTTCAAGAGTCAAACAGAAGAGTCATGAGAGCCAAAGGTTCTTAAGGGTTACAAGCAAGAAACATTGTAGGTCAAACGTTCTCGAGGGTCAAATGGGAGAGATAGGCTGTGGGTCAAGTATTCTCGAGGGTTAAATGAGAAATAAACTGTGGGTCACATTCTCAAAGGTCAAATGGGAGATATACGTTGTGGGATAAACCTTCTCAAGGGTCAAGTAGAAGAGACAGATGAGGGTCAAACGTTCTCGAAAGTCAAATGCAAGGGACACGTTATGGATTAAACATTCTAAGGGTCAAACAGAAAAGACAGATGAGGGTCAAACGTCTCTCCCGTTCAACCCTCAACCTGTCTCTTCCGTTTAGCCCTTAAGACAGTTTGACCTTTCACAAATTTCATTAATTCATCTCTGCCGTTTCACTTTATTTTATGCTCCCCTAAATCCACTATCACAGATCTTAGACAGCCACCGCTATCATGAAGTCTTCCCACAAGATCCCCCGAAATGCTCTACTTTCCGAGAAAATAAAACACCAAAATACCTGCAAAACTGATAGATCTTCCACCAATAAAAATCCACTCTCTGATCTCACAAAAATCTCTCCAATCCCCAGGTGTCAAGATCCTCTACACCGGAGACTTCAGCCGCCAAGAGGACCGCCATCTGATGGCCGCCGAGATTCCCAACGTCCACCCAGACGTCTTGATAACCGAATCCACCTACGGTACACACATCCACGAGAAGCGAGAAGACCGCGAGCGAAGGTTCACGAACCTAGTCCACGAGATAGTGAACCGTGGTGGCAGGTGCCTCATCCCAGTGTTCGCTCTGGGTCGAGCCCAGGAGCTCCTCCTGATCCTGGACGAGTACTGGAGCCAGCACCCAGAGCTTCACGAGATTCCCATCTATTACGCCTCCTCCCTAGCCAAAAAATGCATGGCTGTCTACCAGACGTACGTCAACGCCATGAACGATAAGATCAGAAGGCAGATAGCAATCAACAATCCTTTTGTCTTCAAACACATCTCAAACTTGAAGGGAATCGATCACTTCGACGACATTGGGCCCTGCGTGGTGATGGCATCGCCAGGAATGATGCAGAGTGGACTGTCTCGTGAGCTATTCGAGTCCTGGTGCACAGACGCCAAGAATGGAGTTATCATCGCTGGATACTGCGTCGAGGGTACCCTAGCCAAGACAATTCTCTCCGAACCCGAGGAAATAGCGACAATGAGCGGACAGAAACTCCCTCTGAAGATGTCTGTCGACTACATATCCTTCTCAGCGCACACTGACTATCAGCAGACATCAGAGTTCATCAGGATTCTGAAGCCACCTCATGTCGTTCTTGTTCATGGTGAACAGAACGAGATGGGAAGGCTGAAGGCTGCACTGCAGAGGGAGTATCAGGACGATCCTAGTACGACTATGGAGATCCACAATCCTAGGAATACAGTTGCTGTGGAGTTGTATTTCAGGGGAGAGAAGACTGCCAAAGTCATGGGAACGCTTGCCATGGAGACTTCTAAACCTGGGGAGATTCTCTCTGGTGTTCTTGTCAAGAGGAACTTCAATCACCATCAATTGGCGCCCTCTGATCTGTCAAAGTACACGGACATGACGACTAGTCACGTTGTGCAGAGGCAGAGCATGCATTTCAGCGCTTCACTGCCGGTTTTGAAGCACCTCCTGGGACAGATTGCTGGGAATTTGGAGTACGTGGATGACAAGAAGATGAGGCTTTTTAATAATGTTGATGTTACGATTGATGGGAAGATTGTGACGATGGAGTGGATTGCTACTCCGGTGAATGACATGTATGCGGATTCTGTTTTTACGGCTCTGCTACAGGCAGAGTTGATGGAGAACCCTCCGAAGACACTGCCACCACCCACGAAAATGGACAGGATGCATTTCAAGACTTGTTTGATTGAGATGCTTCAGGAGATGTTCGGGGAGGACTCGGTTCCCAAGATCTTCAAGGGAGAGCAGCTTTATGTCACTGTTGATGGGAAGAAGGCGCATATCGATCTGCTGGGGCTCGATGTGACCTGTCAGGAGGATGAGGTCTTTCAGCAGATCGTGCAGACTGCGGTTTCCAAACTGCATCAGTCACTTGCGTCCCCTTGCGAGACTATTTGAGGGAGCAGAGGAGATGATGCTGAAGATGATGATGGAGGTGTTGAGGAAGAGCTGGAGATTTTTATAAATGTCGGATAAGATTGATTCATTGTAGTTTTAAGGTGTACAATTATGTGGATTATTAAAATGATGAGTTTGGGATGATTTGTTGATTTTTAAAATCAAATTGAGCAGGGCAGTCTTATGAATTCATTGATCAATCTGTTTTGGGAATTTTATTTTTAGTCTTGGAAATGACAAGACGAGTGGGGATACTGACCACTGTACTACCGGAGAATAATTTACTGATGATTTTATTTCATCAGAATGACCACTAGTATAAAATACCTCACTAGGTCAACATCCATTTTTATCAGCAATCTCAAGAGAACCGAGGAGACATCGTGGTTCACCTGTAAATCTGTGACTAGGGATATAACTGAGGATTTTTGAAATAATGAAGGAATTGTTAACGAAGAGAACTATTAAGGAGAGATCTTCAGTTTTTATGTAAAAAATGATAAAAAACTGAGTTTTCATTTTTTTCATTGATGGAATCTTCAAGGGCCCTCATGACGTAATTCTCCATAGAGTGATTCAAGATTTAGTTCACACATACAGAATATGTATATAAATATAACTAAATGAGGTTCTTTAAAAATCTTAATTTTTCGGGTTTTTATAGTTTTTTTTCGAAATTGCTACAGGTGATGAGGATGGAAAAATTCTGCATAAATGATTCGAAAAATCTGAAAAAATTACTATTGCAATTATTTATGCTGTAGCTGAATATTACGATTTTTTTATTTTTTTCACCTCAACCAATTTTGAGAAAAAAATTCCAAAAAGTAAAAAAATATGAATTTTCCAAAATTTTCATGTTGGGTAAATATTACATATGTGTGGAGCAAAATTTAAATCAATCGGGTGAGAATTTCGTCACGAGGATACTCTTCTTGATTTTATTCCTCTTAAGCCTTTTTCTTATCAATAAAAAAATCAAAACCCAGTTGTTTCTCATTTTTTTCCGATAAAAATCAAGTAGTAAATTCATCAGCACGAAAAAATTGAATTAACATAAATTTAAATTAAGATATTCAGAAAAAAAAATTCTTTACCCCTTCGATCTGTGAAAAAATTTCGAAAATTCATTCAATAAAAAAAATCTCTGAAAAAATTTCCAATTTTGTTTTCAACCCCTGGATTCATTATTTACAATTTTAGTTGCTACTCTGCATTAAAGAGGTCGTCCCACCGTACTTTTCAAACTTGAGAAAAAAAAAGAATATTATCTCCTTTCTAAATAAGACACTTGTAGGTCATCGTGAGCAGCTGTTTCCCTCGAAAATGTGTAAAAGTAACTAGAATCGACGGAAAAATAATTTCCCCAAGGGTATCAACCTATCGACCTCGCTAAATACCATTTTCTCTTGAAATTAAACACAATGAACGTGATACTGAATATGACCTCTGGTCTCTCGATACTGAATATCATTGCACATTGTTACTGATAGGTTTGTACTCATTTCAATGTGAAACGTTCCAATAATTAGGACAATTTGTTGCTCGATATTTTGGATAATTTATCAACGTCAATCGAGTTTTTTTAATTATTGAAGTATGAGTTTTCTGAGTGGAGAACCTCTGATTGATAATACCACCGAGTTGACAGGGGAAAATCCACCTCAGAGGGCTTCCAACAATGGAGGTAATTGGTGAATCAATAATTGTGATAAACAATAGGTTTAGGCATAATTAAATTTTCTTAATTACTGTTTTTTTGCCTCATTGTTTTTTTCTCTTGTTATTTTTTTTATTATCTCAATAAAGAAGAGATTTAGAAGAAAGTTTTATGGGAATTTTTTGTATGAAATTTCCTCAGTTGTAGAAAATGTAATTGATATTTCCTCCTAGAACCAATAAGTATCGAGATATTGACTGATTTATTAGGTAAAATCTGTCGAAAATCATCAATTCTCGTCAACTTCATGATTTTTCTTATTTCATTCATTTTTAAATATCTTGATGACAAGTTATTTTAGAAAAAAATTTCATAAGAAATTTTTGTAGAGAATTTCTTCAGCTACAAAAAATGTTATTATCATTTTCCCCTAGAACCAATAAGTATGAAGGTATTGATTGATTTAGTAATTAAAATTTATCAAAAATTATCAATCCCTTTCAACTTGTTGATTTTTTCATTTCATTCATTTTTAAATATCTCGATAACAAGCTATTTTAGAAAAAAATTTCATAAGAAATTTTTGTAGAGAATTTCCTCAGCTACAAAAAATGTCCTCAACACTTTCCCCTAAAACTTCTCCCTACCAATCTATTCTTCATCTCCTCAGGAACCGGAATCATGGGAACAATTTTTCTGATTGTAAACGCGACCCTCGGTGCAGGTTTACTAAATTTCCCCCTGGCATTTGACAAATCCGGGGGGATAGTATCAGCTGTCATCATCCAAGCAATCCTCCTGATCTTCATAACAGCAGCTTTGATAATCCTGGCAGAATGCAGCGACATGACCAAAACATCTTCAATGCAGGACACCTTGGCTGGACTGTGTGGACCGAAGGCTCTCGTCATCTGTGGCGTATGTGTCACGATCTACGCGTTCGGATGTTGCTTGACATTCGTCATCATCATTGGAGATCAGTTCGACCGAGTTCTAGCTACTTTTTATGGAATGGACTACTGCCATCACTGGTAATGACTTGTTAAATTTAATTCAACTTTTGATTGAATTTTATAAATCAGATTTGAGTTTCCAATTTTTTGTGTTAGCGTAACTAAATATAGTCTAAATAGTCCGAACATGCGATTTTTTGTTCAATCGAATTTCATGATTTTCTTTCCAAAAATCGATTTTTCAACGATCACTCAAAAAATTGTCATCAGAATGGAATTAGTCATGAATCAAAAAATTGATAACAATACCCTCTCCATTTTATCAGAATATGATGGGGGTCGCACATCTGGTTGTTGAGTTACAGCACATTGTTTATGCGATTTGAAAGAGAAAATTAGTTTTTTCATGATTACTGAAAGAATCATCAGTAATAGCAATTAAATCAGGGGCTTGAAAAGTATATTTCAATGGCTTCTTAATCAAGTTGAAAAATTGTGAGAACAGCATCATTGCTTATCAAGTTACACAATACCGTCATGAGTTTTTTTATATAAAAATCTCTATCTCTATTAAACTCAGGTACCAGTCTATGACGTGAAAAAATAGAAGAAGAGAATAGTGAAATAAGAATTAAAAAAAGAGAATCCATTCGAAAGCAAATTGCTAATTTATTAGCAACAATAGCTATACTCAAAAGATTGCATTTAAAAAATGTAATTATCCACTTGTTTATTGATGTCGTTGGAATTGGAAGACTTCTATGACGATTTTACGTTTGATTTCCCAAGGTTTTTATCGAGGAACTTCGTCACAACAATCAGCTGCATAATTTTCATTCTCCCTTTGAGTTTCTTCAAACGTCTGGACGTCCTCAGCTACGCAAGCACTTTGGGATGTCTCACGATTATTTATGTAGCCTGGGTAGTGATTTACGAGAGCATGAGGACTGAGGACTACCCGAAACCCACTCAAGTCTGGCCGAAAAATGCAACCCAAGCACTTCAGATCATCCCCATCATCTGTTTTGCTTATCAGGTGAAATTACTCATTTCAGTGCCAGTAAATATCGGATTATCTCCACAACGAGTGGTGCTGGCAGAAAATGTTATGGGACTTTTTTGTTCAAAATCTAATTCTCCACAAAAAATTTGTTCTGATATTTTTCCCTAAAATGACTAATTCTCGAGATAAATTCATGCTTTCAAAGAAAAAGAAGAAAAAAAAACTGATTTGAAAGAAGAAATCAAAACTTGTTGAATCCTCAATGTTTTCTAAACGAATGGAAAAATTTAGATGAATCTGATTTCATCTCAAGCTTCGAAAAATGATTTTCAAAATGAAATTTTTTTTTCAAAATTCACCTAGTCATTTTCAAAATATTCCCAATTGCCCCCTCGATAAATTTTCCAGTCTCATGACTGAATTCAGACATTCTAATATTAAATCCTTTCCATAACGAGCGGTTCTATCAGAAAGTATTACAAGACTTTTTTGTTCGAAATTTAATTTTCTGCAAAAAATTTCTTCTGACATTTTTCTCTAAAATATCTAATTCTCGCGATAAATTCACGTTTTCAAAGAAAAANTGCTAATTTATTAGCAACAATAGCTATACTCAAAAGATTGCATTTAAAAAATGTAATTATCCACTTGTTTATTGATGTCGTTGGAATTGGAAGACTTCTATGACGATTTTACGTTTGATTTCCCAAGGTTTTTATCGAGGAACTTCGTCACAACAATCAGCTGCATAATTTTCATTCTCCCTTTGAGTTTCTTCAAACGTCTGGACGTCCTCAGCTACGCAAGCACTTTGGGATGTCTCACGATTATTTATGTAGCCTGGGTAGTGATTTACGAGAGCATGAGGACTGAGGACTACCCGAAACCCACTCAAGTCTGGCCGAAAAATGCAACCCAAGCACTTCAGATCATCCCCATCATCTGTTTTGCTTATCAGGTGAAATTACTCATTTCAGTGCCAGTAAATATCGGATTATCTCCACAACGAGTGGTGCTGGCAGAAAATGTTATGGGACTTTTTTGTTCAAAATCTAATTCTCCACAAAAAATTTGTTCTGATATTTTTCCCTAAAATGACTAATTCTCGAGATAAATTCATGCTTTCAAAGAAAAAGAAGAAAAAAAAACTGATTTGAAAGAAGAAATCAAAACTTGTTGAATCCTCAATGTTTTCTAAACGAATGGAAAAATTTAGATGAATCTGATTTCATCTCAAGCTTCGAAAAATGATTTTCAAAATGAAATTTTTTTTTCAAAATTCACCTAGTCATTTTCAAAATATTCCCAATTGCCCCCTCGATAAATTTTCCAGTCTCATGACTGAATTCAGACATTCTAATATTAAATCCTTTCCATAACGAGCGGTTCTATCAGAAAGTATTACAAGACTTTTTTGTTCGAAATTTAATTTTCTGCAAAAAATTTCTTCTGACATTTTTCTCTAAAATATCTAATTCTCGCGATAAATTCACGTTTTCAAAGAAAAAGAAGAAAAAAAAACTGATTTGAAAGAAGAAAACAAAACTTTTCGAATTCTCAATATCTTCTAGACGAGTGGAAGAATTTATATAAATCTGATTTCATGTCAAGTTTCGAAAAATTATTTTCAAAATGAAATTTCTTTTATTCAAACTTCACTAAGTCATTTCCAAAATATTCCCAATTGACACTTGGATGAATTGTCCAGTCTCATGACTGAATTCATACATTCTAATATTAAATCCTCTCCATAACGAGCGGTTCTATCAGAAAATATTACAAGACTTTTATCTTCGAAATTTAATTTTCTGCAAAAAATTTTTTCTGAAATTTTTCCCTAAAATGCCTAATTCTCGTGAAAAATTCAAGTTTTCAAAGAAAAAAAAAGATTTTCTAAACGAATGGGATAATTTGCGTGAATCTGATTTCACTTGAAACCTCAAAAAATCCTCTTCACCCCAAAAATTATAAAATATTCTTGACCCCTCCATGAATTTTCCAGAGTCACATGACCGCCATTCCAACATACGCCTGCATGAAGGACAGAAACCTCAGCAAGTTCACAATAAGTTCGATCATAAGTATGTGCATCTGCTTCGTGGCTTACACAGTAGTCGGCATCTTCGGATACCAGACATTTGGATCAGGGAAAGTACCCAGTGACATTCTCCAAGGGTACACAGACAAGAGCCCGACCCTGGCAGTGGCGATAGTCGCCCTGGCAGTCAAGAACTTCACGACGTACCCAATAGTCCTCTTCTGCGGGAGGAACTCCCTCCTGGGGCTGTGCCCCACCGAGATCGAGACAAATCCCACAGTTCGAGTGGTCGTGACCCTCTTGTGGTTCGTCGCATCACTGGTGATAGCCATTTTCATCCCAGACATATCTCCAGTGATCAATTTCCTGGGGACCCTCTCAGCGGCGTTCATCTTCATCTGCCCTGGCATCTGCCTCATGCAGAGTGTCTTGAGGAGAGACCCCTCGTTGTACCTGAATAAAAATCGTTTCTCCATGCTCATGGCTATCGTAACGACAGCCCTAGGAGGCTTCGTAGCAGGATTTGTATTCGTTCAAGCTCTAGACGACTTCAATAAACCTGAGAAGACACTCATCACTGGGTTGAGCAGGAACCTGGGGGCTAGTCTCTGTGTCTAGGTGCACCCATTTTTATTAATAAATAATGATGACGCCATTCAAATACTCAAAAACAATTTTATTCATCACAAATTTTGCTCAATATCCATAACATCAACAATAAATTTAAACCTTTTACATTTTAATAATCCATAATTCACGTATTCTTACGCCTTTCATTCCTGAACCTTCCTATCCACTGATATCACGAGGAGCTAGATGATGACCTAACGAGACTAGAAGTAAAATCATGAATCAGGGTTTTATTTAAGTCGTAGACTTGAGTTATAGTAGTCTTGCAGAAGAAGCACTCTCGGCTGTTCAACAGATGTCGATCGATGCAGACCCTGCAAGACTTATGATTGCAAGGTTTGAAGGTAGCTCCATTCGGGTAAGCATAGCAAATGATGCAGGTGTCATCGTCATCGCTGACCAGACGATTGTCAGGCAGCAAGACCCTCTTGGAATCCAAATACTTCAGCATCCGCCTCACCCGTTCAACCTCCTCAGGCGTCACATCATTCCTGTAAGAGCCCAACGAGAAAGTCTTGACATTCTTGTCCAATTTCCCATTCTTGGGCACATCCTCGCCAAGCACGAAGTGCAAGGAGCTCATCTGAAAGCTCGGCTCCGTCAGCAAAGCCTTCGTCACCCTAGGAATGTCACTGGACTCCCCAGCCCTCGTCATGTCCTCCTTCAGCAGAGCCAGCAGAATCCCCGTGACAGCAGCCAGAATCGGAAAATGATCTATAGTCTCCAAATCCGGAATGTCCAGCAACACCACATGCTGAAAGCAGCTAGTCTGCAAGCTGACCCTGTTCAATATCTGACAGAGCAGCTGACACAGCCTGGCGAGAAGATTCTCACTGGAACTCTGAGAGTTATCACTGAAGATGGTGGGAGCCACCGTTGCGATCATCTCAATGACCCTCAGCAGAGAAATAGCCAGATCGAAGCAAGTTGCGCAGATTTTGAGCTGTCTGGACTCGATGAACACCCGTTCTGGCCTCGACGAGACATTATGAATCTCCTGTACCATGCTTATGAACTCCGAGAACGCCCAGTTCATCTGATTCAACAGAGAATTAAGAAACTGGGTCGTTGTCTTGGTGTTTTCAAGGAGAATGTCCCTGACATGCATCTGATACATGACCGAAGGACACGGTTTGATCGGCTGCGAGATGGACTCCTGCTGCAGCATCTTCGGCCCAATTTTCCTAGCGAGATGTGGACTCTTCTCGTACCTAAAAGCGAAACCGTGTCCCTGCCAAAACCTCACAAGTACCCAGTTGGATTGGGCCCAGGCGCGATTTTCGTAAGGTCTGAGGACATTCGTCACGAATTTTATCCTAGACTCCTTAGGGATCTCCTCAAGCGCCTTTAGCGTGAGGGAATTGGACGTGAACCCAGCCAGCGTGAGAATCAGCGTGTCTTTAGCAATGGCATGAACGATTCGGGAATCCAAGAAGTGATCGCAGAGAAACTGGGCAATCTCCCGGAGCATTGTCTCGTACCCCTTGATGTTCTCAATAGGAGCTGTAGGATGAAGATGATTCTTAAGACCTACACTGAGATCAGCCAGGGCCTCCAGATAGAAATCCGGTACGAATCTGAACATATTCCCCTCGAGGCTCGCCTTTTTCAGAGTCAGAATGACGACCTTGAGGAGCCAAGCGAGCTGGGACTGTTTCTCGTGAGAATAGACAGCTGCTCTGACCCACGCCATGTGCCTAGCTTGCTCAGAGAGCTTCGTATTGAAGACGCCTATCGTCCTGAGGAGCTCCTGCTGGACGACGTAGGCGTCCGGGTCCTTCGATTTCTTAAGGGTTTCGAGTCTGGCTTTGACGTCAGACATCGCTGAGACGTATTCGCTCATGCTGTCACGTAGATTAGCGACTTTAGCTATTTGCTTCTTGGCAGCAGCATGGTAGAACAATATGACATTCTCGAGGAGTTCCAGCAAGGAGACAGCTGTGTCTGCCGAGCCAGATCGCAGGGGCTTCTCCTCCCGGACGAAGGTGGGGTAACCCAGGATGATGGGCGATCCACCAGACGTTGAAGTGTTGATGTTAAGCATTCTGGTCGTCGTAGGAATGACCACAGACATCTCCCCCATTCTCCCAGGTCCTCCCATGAAGTTGTTCGTCTCCTGGGTCTGCTCCATCGAGAGGATCACCTCGTGGTCCGGCCCCAGATGATGAATCAACTCGTTCTTATAAGTTTTATTCAAGTAAGACAGTACCCCGCCAAGTCTATCGATGTCGGCATAATTTATTGACGAGTCGTAAAAGACCCTGCAGGGGACGAAAACCGGGGAAGTCCCGACTTCTCTCTCCCAGAGGACTCTGAAAGCCACCAGAAGCCGGTGGAAACAACAGACTGTGATCTGCAGAGGGGTTCTGCTGGATATCAAGTTCTCTTGGACGAACCTCCTGAAGTTCTTCAGGAAAATCGTCCTCGAGGATGACGTCGTGGGTGTACCATCGCTGTTATCGAGAAAGGTAATCAGCAGTTCGACCTGGAGGGCCTCGACCTCAGCGATAGCTGACTTGATCCTCTCGCAGGCGTCACTGTAGCTCTGTTTATTGACCTCGACCGAGTGATCCGGGGGGTTTGTCTCCCACCACGTCTTCTGGATTATGTCGACGAGTCCTCCTTCGTCCAGAGGCTTCACGTGGATGAAATTGGCGAAGCGGACTCGATCGAATAAGACGTTTTGCAGGAGATACTGCCTCGTCTTCGTGTGATGACAGAGGTTCGTGAGGAGGCGAAGACTCCTGCATTGGTCAGGGTAATCTAGCCTCAGCGACACGTGTCTGAAGGCGGAGAGGAGGTATACAACACTGCTCTCGAGGCAAGCTTTGATCTCGTGCTTTTCGAGGAATGTCCACAGTAAATCGAGACAGATTGTCAGTTTGTCTGGGTCGTCTTGAGCTAGGCTCTGGACAAAAGGAAGGAAGATAGCTTCGACGATGTAAGGGACTGACAGAAGAGGCCCCAGATGATGGAGGATGGACCTGGCGAGGCACATGAGGTACGTCCTGAGGGTCATGGGGTCACTACCAGAGGTCTGGGATGGGACTGTCTCCCGTCCATCGAGGATCATCTGATCGATCAGACGCTCGAACCAGGAAAAGATCAGGTGGGATCGTTTCAGCTGGGCTACCGGGGACGCCTGGAGGGTCTGGTATCCGCTAATGGGGTATCTGAAGGGTGTGGAGCCAAAATTGGCTGTGAGATTTTCAGTGAAAGCTAGGGAAACCGTCGGAAAATACGCGATTCCACTCCCTGTGGTTATGCCGTCGAAGGCTGTCCCCAGGGGTCTCCCGTTCCTGTGGAAGTCGATCTTGCCGTTGTCCAGGTCAATCGCGCAACCGATTATGTCCCCCGATAGCCAGGGCTCCCCGTATTTGTGGGTGGAGACGTTCCACTTGCGGACGCGGTTACCGTCGTATGAGTAGGAGTTGATGGTGTCACCAACTCCACTCTCTTGACTGAATTTACATTGCGCTGTGCCCCAGCCTATCTGCATGACTCCTTTGGAGCCCAGCTGGAGTTCGTACATCCATTTGCCAGAGTAGAAGCCAGTGTTTGCGCGGAGGGTGCTGAAGTTACTTTGGGAATTGACGCTTAAACGGTCTGGGGTGACTATCACCAGGCCGTGGTGGGTTGACACGTCAAAGCAGACGAGTTTTGGGCCCAGACGGCCGGGACGAGTGTCCTCTTCGGGGTCTTCTGGGGCGACGGTGGAGAGCGCGGATTTTATGAAGTCGGAGGCCGAGGGGAGACTCGATCTGGCGAATTTTTAATGAGAGTTAGGGGTGAGAAGATGGGGAATATTTCGGTCGCGGACAAAACTTCCGCGAGGAAATGGCCGATGACAATTTATCCACTGACAACCGGATCCGCTGAGCACCCGAAGTGCAAAATTTCCAATTTTTTTTTCACATTTTATCTACTTCTGAAGCCTATGCGGCTTCAGTGAAGAAAATGAAAAAACGGAACTCAGAATTTAGAGATCAAATTTAATCCGCAATTTTCAATTCAAGAGAAAATAAATATTTCTTGCCTAAAAAAGCACGAGCGATATCTCGAATCGAAAATGAGAACTCGAACATGACGGATAGCTCGAACGAATGGAGAAAGTACGGCGGTTTTCATGAGTACAATCGTATTGCGTCGCATTTTCATGAAGCCCGCCTAACAAACAAAAGAGAATTGAATAACATTCTGTGAAACATGAATAAACGAATCATAATTGTCCAAATCATTTAGATCAGAGGAAAATAGAATAATTCTACTTTCTTAATATTGCGTTTACTGAGGTTTTCTTCGAACAAAGTTGATTAGAATTAATAGCTAGAACTATGAGATTATCTCACATTTTTGACGTTAAGGATAGGAGAATCTGAATGCAATATAGTGAAAATGATGATCGATTTTTTCACTTTAAACAAATAATATTAATATCCAAATACAAAATTTCTGATATGAATAAAAAGAAGCTGTGACTCAATATTCCAAATGAAGTTTTAATTTTTAATTTGGTGCTGAAAACACGAGATGACAATATTCTAAGCACGGAATTATATTGATGAGATGAACAACAGATTAATTGAATTACCGTGTGAACTGACTGAAAACTGATAACAGTGTGGCCACGCACTTTTACCAGAGTATCAACAAACAAGCAAATGAGCAAATCATTTATTGTAATATGAAAATTTAACAGCTGATAAATTGAGGCGCATGATCTTCGTCGGTCTTATTGCATTTTGCAATGAGAATGATTATAAACAATCAATTGGAAAAAGGAATATCAAATTTGACAGAGAAAAAGGGCATCCACATGCTTTAGTCACATAAAATTACATGATAATTAACAAGGATAACTTATCGACGAATATAATGTGCCCAGAATAAATTGTCAGCAGATCAGATGTCAATAATACAATTGTCGCTGGAAAAATTGTCTTAATTTTTTTTGGGAATTTTGTCGCGGAAATTTTGTACGCGGATCTAATCTCCAGAAGAAGGTGGGGAGGGGGGCAAAATGGAATGATAGCAAAAAAAATAGATGTAGATAAAAATTTCAATAATTTTTTCTTCATCTCTGTCACGAAAAAAATTAGGAATTGACTATCATTTGAGATGGGGGAAAATGAAGGTTGTCAATATCTCAAATATCTCCTGAACTAACGGAACAATTTGGATAAATTTATTCTCATTTTGAAGGGTTTGAAAAGAGCTTGAAAATGAGACCATATTTTTTCAATTTCACTCTGCCAATCCCGAGATATTTGAGATTGAAAATAATCTGTCTTTAGTGAAGCCTTGGAAAAGGGGATTTTAGCCTACAGTTTTTTGTAAATATCTTCGAAACTACGCGAAATAGTGAAATTTTTGTGAAGATCATTTTTGTAGCTGAGAAAATTCCCCACAAAAAAGGTCGTAACGAGGATTCCACTATCTCCATTAGATTCCGAGATATTTACAAAAGCCTCAGCCACTTTGATTATTTCTTCATTTTACCTCGAGGAGGCCTCGCTGAGGACTCCAGCACCGAATATCGATGTTAGCACGTCACTGGCCTGCATCGTGGAGGCTTAAGAAAATTCCGAAGGCATTTTACCTGGAATCCGTGAGCATAAACAACAGTCATCAACATCTTGTCGCACCGGGAGAGAGAATTTATATTCAACTCCAAACGTAATTTTGTTTCTGGTTTTGAGATCGAGAGGTTTTTACCTGTCAGTTGATTGCAGGTTATGGTTGCTAGGAATTTACAATCGCTAGCTTCAGAAAGTACGAAGGGATGTTGTGAAAGTGCGTGGGCAGTCACATTGTCAGACAGGATCAGCTGATTTTATTCTTCCTTTTTGTCTGAACTGTTCGAGGGCTGGAGTCCTCGAGAAAATATGGACCGCGTTGGATTGGTTGGCAGCCAGTTTGTCGACTAATGGCGCCATGGGGTGGGTTCGGAGGATGGGTTGACCGCGGGTTTGAAGGACTATTCAAAGTACTGAGGAATCAACGAGGAATTGAAGAGGAAAACCCTGATAAAACGCCCGGAAGTTGTTGGAAGAGCTTCGGAAATTTTTAAAACGCAACAATTACGAGAATTTTTCTATGACTAGAAGAGATTTCGAAGATCAATTTTATAGGTCTTATGAGACTCCACAAACACTAATTTGACTCCTGCCAATACGATTTCCATGTGTAGGTGCTCTAATTGCCCACTTTATAGTATTACTACATCCAATAGATATTCAATTCAATGATAATAAATATTGATAAACGCGTGTTAGTAATAAAACTTTGTCCTTATCTCTATTTGTATAAACAACTTTTTCTAGTTCCTACGATAGTTACTAATGTAAAACGTAAACGAGATATCATTTTTATTGGAAAATATGATTTATGTAAAACCCTTCAATGATACTGATTAATTATTTTAGAATTATTCCAGTGAAAATTCTTTTATGAAAGAATGAAAGATATTCTTCATATAAATGTTTCCATAAATGAGATAAAAAAAACAATCAGGTCTTTTCAATAATCCCCTTGTCCCCATTTAATTCCCACGATCAGATTTCAACAAGTGATGAGTGATAAAATAAATGACTGAAGGATTTTGATTAACTCACCGGCGTTGGATGAAAACAACAGCTCCGTTTCCACCTCTCGCACCTCCTGCCGCACTTGTTATCCCTGGGGTTGAGTCCTCTCCACCGTCCTCACCTTGTCGATCACAATCACTTCAATTTCCACTGATGAACAAAAAAATAAACGAAAGAAATTCACTGAACCATGAAAAACTCCAGACCCCTTGACACTCTCCACAAACACTAATTTCATCGAGAAACCACTTCCTCCGCCATTTTCACCACTTCACCCGCCACTCGCGATTTTGAAAATCAAAAACCCCCGGATGCACTCACAAAAAATAAAAAAACCCCCGCGACTCCGGAAACACATCGACCGCCATCTTGCGTATTTATCAACACGTCGACAATAACGAAACTACTGACGTCACTTCGACATTCCCCACAACCCCACAATCACAAATAAAATCCTTCATGTCCACTGTCTCCACTCATTCCCCACTTCAACTCCATTTTTGATCAATTAAAAAGTCAATAGACACTACGAACCGTCCAAACCCCAGTCCTTTGTCCAGAATCACACAGCAGGCGCCATCTTGTGACGTCACAAAGACGTCGGTCACACAGGGACGAGAAATTTTCGCCCTGTGCACCTCTCATATTGCCCTGGCGCTCGCAATTCGCCAGAATAAACACCAATTCCATCATAAAATCGTTGCTGTCCATCATTATCGATCAATCGTTGCATCATTTACAATTAATTTGACGATATTACCCTCATTTCCTCAAAATACGACGAACGAGTCTTGAATCCATTGTTCGCACCGGCCGCCATCTCGGATTTGTCCAAAGTGAAAAATTTTTGCCACATGATTATTTTTCTCACTCTCGTGTTCGAAATTCACGACAAAAATGACCAATTTCATCGTAAGACTGTTGTTGATGATGATTACTAAGTGATTACCACATTATTAATTATTATTTCAACAGATTTACCCTCTTTTTCCACGAAAATATGTAGAGTTAACGCCAAAGCCACGGAAGCCAACCGCCATCTTGAAAATAGTCCCTCGCGCATTGAGACCGCGCAAACCGCGAAAGGCGACCGGGAGGGGGGTCGTTTCAACAATCACGGGTGGACACATTTCGTTTTGGACAGATTCTAGGGAAAATGACGACAATACGGGAGGCAGTGGAACAGATGGGCACGGAAATTTGTGGTCACATTCGCGGATGGGCAGATCCTGATGAGGTAGTTGAAAGGGATGAAAAACATTTTTTTTTCATTTTTTACTTTTCCCACATACTATTGAGAGTTCTGAATAGCCCATCACTGAAATAGCCGGAATCGACTTTCACTCGGCGAAAAAATTCGATTTTGCCGAAAGTTGATTTTTGCCCTGAAAAAATCCAAGATATGACACTTTTGGCCCCAGGTGAAAAAAAAAAAATTTATTTTTTACTTTTCCCTTTTACTATTGAGAGTTCTGGATAGCTCGTCATCGAAATAGCCGGAATCGACTTTCACTCGGCGAAAAAATTCGATTTTGCCGAAAGTTGATTTTTGCCTTGAAAAAATCCAAGATATGACACTTTGGCCCCAGGTGAAAAAAAAAAAATTTTATTTTTTATTTTTTACTTTTCCCTTTTACTATTGAGAGTTCTGGATAATCCGTCATCGAAATAGCCGGAATCGACTTTCACTCGGCGAAAAAATTCGATTTTGCCGAAAGTTGACTTTTGCCCTGAAAAAATCCAAGATATGACACTTTTGGCCCCAGGTGAAAAAAAAAAATTTTTATTTTTTACTTTTCCCTTTTACTATTGAGAGTTCTGGATAGCCCGTCACTGAAATAGCCAGAATCGACTTTCACTCGACGAAAAAATTCGATTTTGCCGAAAGTTGATTTTTGCCCTGAAAAAATCCAAGATATGACACTTTTGGGCCCAGGTGAAAAAAAAAAATTTATTTTTTACTTTTCCCTTTTACTATTGAGAGTTCTG